GTAAAACTGACTATTTAACAGTTAGACCTGTAGCCCGCAAGGACAACGGGTCAATAGCCCATGAGGCTTGGCCTCACGGGCTATTGGGGTCTAATTGTTAAACAGCCAGTTTTACAAAGGAAATAGTCAACTTGATCCATATGTGCACTATTGTGTGATACTAAAAGAACTTGTGAATTCTTAACAACACTCAAGAAGTGTGCAAAAGAAATCAGCTATGCCTCTCGCTTCTTAACTGTCACGTTCAAGCTTAATTTATAGGTTAACTTAATGGTTAATCAGCTTACCTAAAGTTGATCTTTTGCCGCCGAAATATTGGAACTTCATCCTCGCTTCTAACATCAATGTATCCAGTTGAGATCTGGGTAATTTTTCATTTCAGGAAGGTGCAAATAAATGATAAAAATCATTACGCTTATTAATTTCAGCTGAACCATGCAAGGCGGCAAAAATTGACTAAAAATCACCGAGGAAGAAAATTTCGGAGGAAGTATTACTTAGAAGTCCTAAGGAAACAGTAAGTAGTACTTATTTCATTCACCGGTTCAGTGACGTCTGGTCCTAGAAAAGGATTCAAGTTTTCGCCTGCAGAAGCCTGCATGTACTGATCCAGGATGGACGCCATCTTGGCTAAAAACTCTGGGGCTTGCAAATACTTCTTAGGGGATGGGAGGGAGAAAGCAACTGTGCCACAAAGTTAAAAACTAGCTAAATTGTTTTATGATGGTTGTTTCTTAGAGAAAAACGTGCGTTGAATAATTTTCAATAATAAGAAATTATTTTTTATCGTAACTTTATTATTTTATTTTTTATAAGCGTGCATCATAAAAGTGTAATTCTCCGTACCCCGGTTAGGAAAGAACGCAGCCAGACAGTTGCGAAACCTCCGCGAAACCGCGAAACCGAGGCTGGCAATGTAAACAAGATGGCAACCTTTCACAGTTCCTACTTCCCCAAGGATCTGTTGAGTAGTCTCAGTGCTGAGGTTCTTTATATCATTCTGTCTTACCTTCCCGCAAAATCCCTTTTGAATCTCAGCGAATGCAATCGTCGTCTGCGAGATTTATGTCAGAACTGTAATTCACTGTGGAAACACCTTTGTAAGGTTAGTTGTGATTCTTTCGATCAGAAAATCAAGCTTACAGATAAACCTTACATACACAAGTCCATCTTGGCAGTGAAGAAATTACTTTTTTTCTAACTATTTTACGCCGCAAATACAACGATGCAAGTATTTTACTTTCACTTTGTGTAAATTCAAACATGTTTTTCGTCATGTTTTCCAATGGGCATGTTTTAACACACGAACTTTCTCGGATCTCCGAGGCGTGAATATCGAACTTCCTGTACCAATTTTTTCTCCTTGTACATATCCAGAATTCCAAACAACTGAACAGATAGAAGTTTACTATGACGCAGTCTGCTGCCTTTCTCAACTTTGTACTTTTGTTTGTTTATCTTATGAGTGCTTCGTTTTAGTGTGCGTACATATTCATGTATTTGGACTCTTGTTTTGAACCCTTGTATTTGTTTACCTTTTGTTATTGATATAAGCCTACTTACCCTACATTTACTGAGAGCAAGCGTTCTTAATGCGGCAGGAATTCAGTGTGTTTTAGTTCCACGTGCTTCTGGCTTCAAAATATGTCCCTTGCCAGGCTGAACACATCATAGCTGGTCACAAAAAAGGCAATTTAATTATACACAACCATTCCGCATTAAAGACCTCAGCACATAGGCAAACTACACATTTAATTATATATTATATATCATTCTGTCTCTATGATTAATGCTTTCAGAATTAATGAAATGATTTGTTATAAAATTTATAAATTTAAAGAACACTGAGTCAGTATAATGGTACTTTTTAGAAAAAGCACTCCCTTCAATAAATGGGTCCCGCTTTGAGTTAAGCACCTTTCTTGTCCATGAACAAAAATTATTGAGAAAAGCACAAGGGCATCTAATTGAAGAGACATACCAGTTAGTACAGTGTATGATGTGAAATGTATCCAGAGGGATACTTAAATCAGTAAGAGTACAATTGATTCTACAGTAGTAAATAAATTATAAAGAAGTTCATATTATAAATGTTTGGTTGTCTGACTATTAAAAACAAGGTGTGTATTTCAACAGGTAAATTTGTTCAAGAAACTTAGTTGTGATTTTCAAACAAACAAGAAGATCTGTTAGATCTTATAACCGCGCTTTTAAAATTTAACTGTTT